AGAAGAGACCTCCTGCGGTCCCAGCACAGCCCATCTGTGTGTGTGTGTGTGTGTGTGTGTGTACGCACACCTCAGCCCTCTGGTCAGTGCACACCCAGAATTACACAAAGAAACGAGTCAGTTTACACCGGCACACGTTCTGAGTCCAAGGCAGCTGTATTCCACACAAGGTCACCCTCCGCATCTCGTGTAGCACTGAGGGTCCTCTCCACTTACACGGCCACAAGCATCTCAAGGTGGGTCTAAAGCCTCCATTCGCCAGGCCGCCCGGCCCACAGCTGGAGGAGACATTCTCAGCCCCATTTCACAGCAGCGTCGGCAGAGCACAGCCGGGAGCAGCATCACCTGGAGCGGAGACCTGACTCCCAGCCCCCCGTTTTAACCACTGCCCCCCACTGCCTCCTCCCCTATAGGGCACCAAAACCGGCACCGCTGGGTTCACACAGCGATGGGGGTTCAGAGTGGGTGGGAAACATGGGGGCCCGATGCAGGTGGCGGGGATCGCAAGGGAGAAGGTGCTTGCACTGCGAACAGCAAGTTTGTAAACATGAAGCAGTGGTGAGCAGGGGGCAGGGTGGCACTGGCAGAGCGTGGAGCATCTCCACCGTGGGAGAAATTTGCCCCTGTGTGAAGAGGGAGCACATGAGCCCTCTGGGCTGTAGGGTTGCCACGTGTCCCGTTTTCGACTGGAACGCCCAGTCGAAAAGGGACCCTGGCGGCTCCAGTCAGCACCACTGACCGGGCCGCTAAAAGTCCAGTTTGTGGCACAGTGGGGCAAAGGCTGGCTCCCTGCCTGCCCTGGCTCCACGTGGCTCCTGGAAGCGGCCGGCATATCCGGCTCCTAGGCGTAGGGGCACTGCCCCCGTCCCGAGCACCAGCTCCACAGGTCCCATTTGCCAGGAACTGTGGCTAATGGGAGCTGTGAGGGTGGTGCCCACGTGTGCAGGCAGTGTGCCGAGCCCCTTTGCCAGGGCCGGATTAACTTTTTGTGGGCCCGGTGCCAAACATATTTGTGGGCCCCCATTGGGGAAATAGGGCATGTGATGGAGGGCGGTCCGCAGAGTGAGGGGCCGGTTGTGGGCAATGAGGCACAGTGGGAGTGGCCCCACTCAGCCCAGCACAAGGGCACTGTTTACAAACCCCAAACTGCTAGACGCACACTGGCCCGCCCAGCCCTGCACTGCCAGTGTGCCCCTTCCACACCGCCCCCCCTGCCCAATGACCTGCCCTTATGCCAGTGCCCCCTCACCCAAAGACTTCCCCCGCAGATCCCTCTGCCCAGCACCCCCTGCCTAGAGACCCCTCCCGCTGACCTCCCACCACAACTGCACAGCACCCTGCACACCATACCCCCTGCCCAGCCCCCGCACCCACAGATCCCCGACTGTCCAGCACCCGCTTCACAGTCCCACCATCACAGCTGTACAGTGCCCCATATTCCTGAGGGAATTCTGCATCAAACTCTGTGCATAATATTTAAAAAAATCTGAATTGTTTTTATAATAAATAAATGTGGAAGCTCCACCACGACAGTGGGGAGCACAGGCCACTGGCTGCATTAGGGTGACCAGATGTCCCAATTTTATAGGGACAGTCCCAATTGTGGGGTCTTTTTCTTATATAGGCTCCTATTACCCCCCCATCCCCATTCCGATTTTTCACACTTGCTATCTGGTCACCCTAGGCTGCATGGAGGTGGGAGAATACCCTGCAGCCTCCCTCACCCCCCTGGGACAGGGACTTGGCAGTGAGACTGAACCTGACCCAGCACAAGGGCCAGGCCTGCCACAGAACCACCCTGGGGCGCTGCCCCTTTTGCGCCAGGCACACCAGATGTGGGCAGGGAGGCTTAGCTCGGCAGCAGGCTACTTAGTGTGGGGGGATCCCGATGGGGGTAAGAGGGTTCTGTGGGGGATCTGGATGCACAGGGAGGTGCCAGGTGCAGGGGCAATGGGAGTCTGCAGGGGGGACCAAGTGAAAGTGGTTGGAGCTCAGGGTGGGGTGGGGGAGTCTGGGTGGAGGGGAGGTGGGGTTGTTGTACTTAAAGTACTGCACAGGATCTTTTCAGGGGGAATAAGGCAAACACCACATTCATTGGTAATACATGT